ATCCTCTATGTTTGTATTTATGTTTGTAAAGTTTTATTTTTAACTTTTGTTTAAGAAATATAATCCAAAATAAAGTGGTATGATGATATTGGCAATCTTCCTCTAGGTACTACATTGCATTAACATTATACTTGAGATTTATGAACGAGTCATAATCTATTGAAAGTAAGATCAAAAAGTAAGATGTACTCGTTATATCTTTAAATTCACAAAAGTTTAATTTATTCAATAAAAACTTCAGTGAAAATTGAAAGTGACCGAAATAAACTTTTTTTTATTTTTAGACTTTCTCTCTTGCTGATCTGAAACTAAATAATTTTCGCTTCGGTTTTACTCAATGCTTTTTACATTCGAGATAAATGGCGTGCCCGCAATGCGGTATCTAAATGAAATGCATCAAAGTATATAGATTCATTGAAGCGAAATTACGGATACAATTTTGCATTTGCATCTTTTTTGTTTATTCAATTCATCCGTTTGGATATACAAGACGTCGTTGCAAATATTATTAGAATGTAAATATTATGCTAACGTATTGCAGCAAGTGAGAAAAGAGAGAGAGAAAGAGAGAGAGAGAGAGAGAGAAGAGAGAGAGAAAACAGAGAGACGGAGAAATGTCAAAAACTTCAAGGGCGATAGCAACTATGTAGAATATTCCATATGGGATATATTCCGACGAGTTACACGGAAAGAATCGAAGATATAACGTGTGTCTCGTGTATTATATTCACCGGAAATAAACCGAATGGACGTATCCAACGGCGGAAATGCATTTTTCCCGCTAACTTTCTCGCATTCGGGAGACTTTTATGGAAAATGCATTGTGCTAGAGCGCGTATAAAGCATTTTGCGTAAAAATTTTGTTTCTTTTTATTATACCTCACCTACGGGCTACGAGGAATCCTATTTTTTACCACGTTATAATAAAAGGACAACGCGAAAAAAAAATACGACGAGTTTTCCGCTACGCGGTTAATAACTATTTATTAAAATACGAGGTTGCATAATTACTAAACGACCATTAGTCGAATGCGCCGCGACGCACCTTGACTTGAAAACGAATTTACGATGTTTTCGTTAATGACTAAAAATTGCTAGGATAGCATTAACTTATTACTTTGTTCCTCCTTTTTGACTTACTGTCAGTGCCGGATTTGAAGGAGGACGGACTGGGTGGCCGTCTAGGGGTCCCCACACGAAAAGTGCGATTTTACTGTAAGGTCTAAAAATTTTACTGAACACAGATCTGAAAATAATTTTGATGGGCCATCCAAATAATTTTGTTGGAAGTTCAAACTTGTTGCCAGAATATCAAAATGTTTTACAGTAATGCTCATCATTTTTGAGTTTCCAACAAAATTATTTTCAGATCTGTATCCAGAAAAATTTTTAGACTTATCAGCAAAAATTGTTCTTTCTGTGCACAAACAAAACTTGAATAAAAAGAAAATTTGGTTAAAAAATCAAAAGCCCCCACTGATTCAGCCGCCCAGGGGCCCTCCACTTCTTTAAATCCGACACTGCTTACTGTTAGCTGAAGTAAATAAAATTATTCTGTACTTTGTAGTCTGCAAAAGCTTATACACAGAAGTCACTATATTCTCATAATTCGAGTCTTTAAAGAACATTCTAAAGAACATCCTTCTTCCTAAAAACGTTTTTAAATTGCTCCTCAGATAAAGTTTGCTGTATGCAGGGATAATAACACGACGACACACGGAAGCTACCGACAATTACTTGCGAAGCTACCTTTTCGTTCGAATGCCAAGCGATTAGTATACAAATGCTTAGCGCGGCGACCTTTTGCCATTTCACAGCGCACTGATCTTTCGTCGTAACGACGAAATTGCGAGGAAGGTTGAGCTCTCGAAATATACGAAATATTTTCCAAATTTCGTTGAAAAAAAAAACTTGGCATTTGCTATTCCATATCATGCGCTATTGTTATTTGCGCAAAGTCACTGCGCTATCGCTGAAACGGCAAATTGCGGAGCGAACGTTAATATTATTCGAAACTTAATCGCGTGAACAGTTGCCAGTAAGAGACAAGTAACATTTTCTGTATACATATAGCAAAAAAAGTGAGTTTTTCAATAAGTGATTTTTCTTTCTGGAATAAAAACGGAATTAAATTAAATACGATCGCGAAGTGAATTACAATCACAATTAAGCTTTGGAAAAGCGGAGAGGTAAGTTACGTAAATTACGTTAAACGGTTTAAAAGGAAGAAAGAAAGAATGGAACTACTGTCCTCCACTTTTGTGAAAATAATAATAATAATAATAATAATAATAATACGCGTGGCGGACAGCGTATTAAGATCTTAAACTGTGTGTGCGTGTCACAGAGTGCAATTAATTCCCGCTCCCTTTGCGGACCTTATACGTTAACTAGCCGCGACATAGTATAAGTACCTCTCTGCTTAACTCCTCACTTCAGCGGAGTCCTCCTCGACATAACAAATTCCCTCTATTGGTCGGGCGGCGCAATTGAAAATTCAAACGATTCGCCTCTCGTCCGGCCAAACGGAATTTGATAATTAACGGGAGTAATTATCGCACGGACACAGATATAAGCGATTACGTATACGTACTATATGCCCGACGAAAACGTCAATTGGATTAATGAGGCGCGGCGGCTCTTCGTTGAGCAGAGTTGCGCGAGCCGAGAAAATATTTTTCTGCAAAAAGGGAACTAATACTTGTTACGTAGCGAGCGCTAAGCTCGGTACTCCTACTCCCAGTCATTAATATCGCAATAAAGCCGTGCACGAAACCAACGGAAAAAGTTAATGCCGCGGAACGCGATGTACGCACAGCACCATTAATTCCCCGACAACCAACCTTTGCGACGGAAAATCCTGCTTCTACACTATCAGTGGGTCCTTTCTTACATATATATATAGTATATATATATTCGATAAAGTTATATTCCGTTAAAAACTGTTCTGAATTGGAGAGAATTACCGATTAAATTAAGATTGATTCGTTCTACTAGAAATCCGATCGAATCCACTGATGCAATTATAACATTTTATATAAAAAATATAATTTCTATTAGCGTAAGAACGTTTTGTAATTTTCTATTTTATATACATTAATCATGACTAAGAGATTAAATTTCGTAAAGGGGCATTTCAATCTAAACAACCGGAATTATTATTCATCACTGGCGCAATTCTCCCTCATATAAATACTTAATATGACGAAATGAAATTTCATTCGTGATCTATATGTAGATCTATGAATCATTTATACCAAACTATTAGCGATTTCTCATATAGTATTAACATAAGCTATATTAAGATAATGGAATGTTACATTGCGTCGAAAACTATAGGACTGTTTCTAGTAGAACCGCAAAGCCCACGGGAAGATACGGACGCTCTATTGCAGGATATCCCATATACACACAGACGCATAACTATGTTGGCTTTACGGGCTTGTGCTCAATATTAAGTGCCTTATGAATACGAGTACGAATACACATCACCAAGTCCTATCCGCGTGCGTATAGCTTTACAAATTACGAGTACTATGATTGATGCAACACTTGAGATGATTATTTATTAATCAGAACAAAATAAAACAGAAAAAGCCCATGCATCTCTTTTATATTCATCACGATCGAGTGTAATGTCTAACACGCATTTAAAATTTAATTACAAAAGAATAAATTTTTTTCATTACCAAATTATGAAAGATTATCATTTAAAATATTTATTATTGTTCATGTGATATTTAATTCTCTCTTTTATGTATCGGATAATAATTCGTGCAAATTTATTTTATAAATTCAAAAAAATATATGTAAAACTTTTTGCGTAGTTGTATCAAAAGGTATAATTTAAGCGGCAAATGGATAGCTAAAAAAATGAAGTATTTAATTTTTACGAATTTACGTGCCGGATTTGTGTTGTTTCATGCAAATGATTGAAAATTAAACGTTTATGGATTTTATCCTGGTTTGGAATACCGTAGTCGCAAATGTATTTTATTTTAACAGAGATTTAGTTTAAAACGGATATTTTTTAGAAATTTTTATAAATAAAATATTTAAATACCAAATATAATAGCAAAGTGATTGTAAGTATCGATTTATCCTAAACCCAAAGAGAGAATTTTTTGAAAAATTTCATTAAAAATGCACAATAGACACAAAGTGATTATCCGCGATTATAAATTAATAATGTTTTTAAATACGGTAAATAATTTCCTTTTAATTTCCCTGCAAGAAAAATTGATTCTGCATCTCGTGATCGCAAAACGTAGTGTAAGCATGCAGTAAACCACGGTACGCGGACACAGGTATAAAATAATCGATATACAATCTGCGAAAAACCAGATGAATAAAAAAATTAAACCTATCAGAATTTTAAAAATTCGAACTTGGAAAGTATTGGCACATTTCCAATACTGTGAAAGTTTATAGATAAGGTATAATATAATAACTGAATTCATGAGAAAAGTATGGATTCCTTGTTTAAAAATTAAACAATATATTCGCTATGAAATATACATAAAAATAAAAATATTATTCTATAATTAAAAAAAAATAGATATCACTCCATAAAACATATTCAATATTTTTCCGCTGATAGTATAACATATAACTTTTTCAGATATAAATTTATAATGGCTTGATAATTCACAAACTTTCGTCCAAACATGGTCCGCCTGGTTTTTCGTGAACAGTAATAATTAATTACCCACACGAGCGTTATTTACGTTATTCTGTGACATCGTCCTCGTAATTTCCACAGTGGCACGATCGTAATTCAATTCGGAATTGAAAGCTGGGCACCACGAATGTAAATATATAATTTTTCCAAAAATACCTTATTTTTATACTATTTTTTACATGCGATTTTTTACAAATACAGTAACAATTAAATTATCATTCGTGTAAAAAAAATTCACCGAATATTTTATCGTATTCGATGTATTGTTTCTCGCTTCACCTTAATTCGACGAAGATAACAGTAAAATATCCACACTCACCACTTTGTCGTCCGCGTAGATGATCGAAGAACTCGGCGCCCCGCTGGCGAGCACAGTGAGAAAGGCGGCGACGGCTATGTGGCGTATCATCTTCACGACGGAGCACATCTGTCCAGCTTCCCGGAAAAGAAGATCACCAACACGATTTGCAACACTGGTGAGAGATCGATTGCTCTCCACAAGATTCGCGCCGAAGTTTTACGTAAACTCAACAACGATAAACCGCACTGTATCGAAGTCGAACTTTACCCCCGGGATCGCGCACCGCTATCGAGAACGGGCTCTCTTGAAATCCCTTCGGAATATTCGCGGAATATTCGTACGAAGATAAAAATTCCACCGGCGATTTCGGTTTCTCCTCTCGGGATGATAGAGGCGCGCGTATAGTAGGAACAGAGATTGATATTCCGCCGGATAGGTCTGTCGGATCCTTTCGGGATTCGATACGCGAGGCAATCGAATTGAAGTGAGTGGTTTCCACCGAGTGATACAAAATCTGTTCAGGATAATCGGAGTTCGAGAAATCTCGTCGAATAATCTCAGTCGAAACAATCGTCTTCAGATGATCTTTGGTGCCTCTTCGAAGTGTTCGCGCAAAGCGCGAATTATCTCCAAACTATAAATACTTGTTGGTACTTCGTGTTTCTTCGAGAATACTCCCAAGAGGAGAGCACCAAAGTATATTAAAAAAAAAAAAAAAAAGCACCACGCCGCGTAAATCTGTCGATCTGCTCAAAGTACTCGCGAAACAATAACGTCGCGCCGCGGCCGTCGCGATCGACGTTTCGTATTTTGCGCGAGCGAGGCAGTGTTCGCCGATGAGTGAACAGGATTCGCGATTATAGGAATTTATCGACGACGCGTGACCGGACGTCGTCTACGTTTAACATCTACGTCTCCAGTGACGAGCCGAGGACTTTTCCCCTCGCTATACTAGATTGTTCCTCCCACCGGTGCTCTCCTCCTGCTTCCTTTTTCCTTTCCCACTTCTTTCCCCGTCTTCCTCCTTCGTACTCTCGACTGACCGCGACGACGGTGATTAACTGATGAGCGCGCCTCGCGTCGCGCTGTTCGCTGCTTGCTTATTTACTTCGCTTCTTCCTTTCCCTCTTCCTTCCCGCGAATCGGCCGACTTTCGTCAACTCGGTAGTCCTCCTGCGCCGCCCGCGGCGATGACGACGATGGCAGTGATTACCGGCTTCTTCGTACTTTCCTCCGGATTCGGGCTTTCCAGCGGCTGGCGCGTCCATCCGCCGACCTTTAACGCGACAGTTATAAACTCGTTAGAAAAAAATCGAATTTCTTAAATCTTTCATTACAAATATTTCTGTGCGTGTCCCAATATTGATTTAATGTCATGCATGACGTTTCTTTATTCACTAAATCAAACCTTTTATTTGTAGGTAATAAATAGAGACACAAGTAGTAAATACGTAATAGAAGGGTGATACAGACAATATGCCGTAAATAGGCTGCATCCTGAAATAACGCGAAATAGGAATGATCGATCCGATAGGCGAAAGGCAAAGCGGACAAGCGAGGCAGTCGGTCCTGCGATGTCGTTTTGATCACACAGTAATATAACTCGAGAAATAACTCGAATCGAACGTCGATAACTCGAACCTCTACAACTCGAAAACTCCCATAAGACTAAAATTTCGTTCATTTCTTTCCGCTCCATTGCGGAAAATGCTCTATAAATCGAAATAAACTTATCTTAACTCAAATTGTTTGTCAGATACGAGTATTTAGATGTATTATTTTATCTCTGCAACTCAAATTTAAAGTAGCCAGACCTCTACAAGTCGAACTTCTATTGTCGCTGCCTCTATAATTCGAAGTTGTAGCTATGTGTAACCATAAGTAATAGCCTGGTATTTTGTTTTATGATTACATTTATTATATATGCAATAAATAATTATATTATATATATGCAATAAATAATTCACGGTCAAATATTGATTTTTTTTCCTCCAAAAGTCATTATAATCGGAAAATTATAAACTCTCGTACAAAGCCTCCATAAGTCAAATTTTTATATGTTAAGGAGCTCTTTTACTCAAATTTTGATAAGTCGAAAACTCTATAACTCGAAGGATTTTTCTCCTCCCTTGAGATTCGAATTATCGAGGTTCGACTGTAAATGAATGTAGGTGAACGATATCGCACAAGTTCTCATTTCTCTCTAACCATTTCCTACATATTTAACTTAGAAAGATAATCTGTGCGAGAATCTGCAATCCCGTTAATTTATCTGTAAATTTATTTGATTAAATAGCTTGGTAATTAGATCTCAAATTAAAATTCCATTGCGTTCGTACTTAACGTCGGATTTGATTGAACAAACGAGCCAACTATCAAACGCACAAAGTACCGAAGACACGGTATCATTGTTGCACGAAGAGAGAGAGAGAGAGAGTAAGAAAAAGAATGTCGGCTACGAGCTACGAGATTCATCCTCCGGCAGAAACTGTCTGGGGGAACAGGGGACAAAAAGTATGCAAACTTCATCGGACCCTTTAGTTCTGAGTACGGTTCCAGAAGAACCCATTCGACGACTCGCGCGAAACAGTGCCCTTTTGTATTCGGTAGATAAACGATTGCCGGACTTAATGGTCCCGAAGAGCCCAGATTTCTCGTCACCTTTAAGAAATATTAGAAGAAACGGGAGAGAGGGGAGAGGATCGGGTTGTGAATCTCAGCCGAGGGAGCTATTCAAGAAGGAATACCACGGATTTTTATGAATCAGACACACGTGACGCACGCGAAAGCTAATCGATGTGGTAAAAGTAAATCGCGATGCATATCCAAGATATTCCGAAAGCTCCTTTAAATTGTAGATTCAAGAAAAGTCCGTTTCCGAATTAATACAATAAGAAAAAAATATATAATTAAATTTAAAAAGGGAGATTTCGTATTTCTTTTTTAAATCGAAGATCAGAAAATTATAGAAAGAGGCGGAACTTGCTGGAAATTCTTTTTGATCAATCGCAAATCCGTCGAAAAATCTTGAATTTACGATCTTAAGGAAGCGTGCGGTATACATGTGCGATATGTATTGATTAAACGACTTTTCTATTCTATATTCTGAGAATACGCGCTCGTATTTCCGAGATTGATAAAACTTTGAAATTCTTACGACCCGAGAACAAGCAGCTGTAGTTCTCGAAATCTCTGAAAGAATATATTAAGAAAATGTTCGAAAGTAGATAATAAAAAAGTCATCAGGAAAACATAACTAAGGGAAGCTTCACCTTTGCCGGCCGTAAAATTAGCCCTTGTTTCATAAATTTTTTAAGGAAATTTATTATATACAGTAAAACGCGGGCTTTTGCATAAACTTATATATTATTTGAACAGCAAAAAATATATTTTATTGATATAAAAATATGTTTTAATCCTAATAGTTTTAATCCTAATACTTTAACGCATGGCGTGAACTAAAATGATGTCGATTGTCTGAAATTTGTAAAAATGGTAGCATTTAAAAAAAATTTTTTTTTACCCTAAAAATTTTTTAAACTTTTATTAATAACATATTGAATGTTTATTATAAAATCATGATTTTAGTTCACGCCATGCGTTAAAGTATTAGGATCAAGAGGAAAAAAAAATCAAGTCTTAATTCGTTTTTTCGTAATTACTTCCATCAGCTCGAAAAACATGCCACATTCAATCGCCACTTGGAGGTATTAAAATACATTTTTATATAAATAAAAAATATTTTTTTTACTGTACAAATAATATATAAGTTTATGCAAAAACCCGCGCTTTACTGTATATAGTAGATTTCCTAAAAAAATTCTTGTAACAAGGGCTAATTTTACGGCTGGTATAAAGATGAAACCCCCCTTTAATCTCTTTCAATATTAAAGATAAAGTCGCGTGCGCTCTTGTTGAGAATTTCCTTTGGTCCATTTTGTATTCACGAGAGAGAGAGAGAGAGAGATTAGAGAAAATAATCTCGATGTACCTTTAATTGATTAATTCACTTATGTCTAAGTTATTTTTCAATTTTGAATTCAATTTCAAATTTAAATTCTATGGAATACACACACACACACACATACATACATACACACTTTTTTTATGTGATACAAAATTTTGAGAAATTTAGAAATTTACAAAAACATTGTCATAGAATCTTACAATTTATTAGCTGTTTAAATGTTGATGTGTGTTTACAATATCGATTATTAATAACAAAATAATTGAATTATAATTACAGCGGTAATAATGCAGATTATTTTATGAAATTATTATATATTTTATTTATATAATTATTATATATGTATACATAAACATATAAATTATTTATATACAATAGGTAATTACACATATAAATATATATATATATAGGTATATATATATATATAATATATATATATATATCAGATTAAATGGGATTATATCGACTGTTGAATTGTATAACATGTGTTTCTCATTCACATGATAATTCGTGTAATAAACAGGCCGTTAACGTGTTAAAGCGTGAAGGTTCACGCAGATTATCTTACGCGAAGGACGCGAAAATGCGAAAGCGACTGATTGAGCAAAAAAAAAAGAAAAATCAGTTAACGATCGTCATCGGCCGATGGTTGGAAAAATGCCGAGAACGAGGACATGAGATAAAGGAAAGCCGATCGGACTGGCGACCGGAAACCGGAAGAAGATCACACGCGGGGCCGAAAGAACGAGAGGATCGTTATCGCCGGGGAACGTGCCAACGCGAGCTGGCTGACCTCGTTTCGTTGTGTCTCGATAATCACCGGCATTCTTCACCGTACATACTGCCTGTCTGTCTACTTGCCTGCCTGCGCCTGCCTGCACTTCCCTGCCTGTGACATACTCGCCATTTTCATCTTATGTCTCTAACAGCTATTTTTCTTCGCGACTCGATGTCCTGATAAGACAAACGAGTTCTGAACAATCAATCTTAAGCAAGATCGCAAAGATATCTTCACGACCTGTAAGAACTCTCGAAAATGATAAGCACGTTTCAGATCAAGTGCAAAGATGGTACAAAAATTCAAAAAGTTCTGTTCAAAAAGTAAAATTCAAGAATTACTATTCTCTCAAAATCGATCGAAGATTAGTTAAAGGATTTTTTTTTATATAAAATTCCTAAGAATTTGTGAATACGACTAGTTACTCTTTAATTAGGATTTTAAAAGTAACTTCTATTAAATAAATTTTCCAAAAGTCTTGAAACTAGGCCTCGAAAACGAACAAATGCAGGTGGAACTGCAATCGAATGGACTGCGCAATCTCCCTATCAGGGCATTGACGCGAGTCTTTCTTTCTTTCTTTCCACGGTAAACACAATAGATAAAAGACTGCGGGGACATGGAAAGAGAGAGAGAGAGAGAGAGAGAGACTCGGTCGTAGACCCTAATGTGATACAACGGAACAATATTTTTATTTAAGTAGCTTTCTTTCAATCGTCAGCTGGATTCATATTTCGACTTTGATACTGTGAGATTCACAAATTACGAGTATCACGAGATGATTGCAAATTTCAAGCTTTACATAAAGGAGGAAATACTTTATTTGGCAAAAATATTGATCTGGATAGAATTTTAAAAAGTAAAAAGTATTATTGAATTAAATAGTAAATTAAGAATTCATTCAAATAGATTATTTCTAATTTTCTTAATAATTTAAATTAATGCCAAAAACTAATTGAGACCTTTAAAGCTTTAAGAATCACGTTTTATCATAAAATCAATTACTATCACGCGAAGAACAGGGGACTGATTAATGAAGATTGTACTCCAAGGATGCGATTCACGTTGACATGGATTGGGAAAAAGCGCTCGATTATAATTGAGAGGAAATGATTTCAGAGGAAATGGCGGTATTTAGCGTGAAACATCCTTTGTATCCACGTTTTCTACGTGGAAGCGGATAATGGTGAGTTTTATTTAACTACGTATAACCGCAGGAGTGAGCACGATAAAAAACAGTAATATTATGAGACGAAGTGCAATGACGTGCTATCATACGATGTCATGATCGCCGTCCGTCGATAACCGCTCGATATTTTTTATTTTCACGGATAGGTAAAATGTTTCCACGAATACTCCTCGGTCCGGAAAAAATTGTCAACAGGACAATTGTTGAATTTTTTTTATGGAGATCTGATATTACACAAAATTGGGAGGGAAAAGGCAGGTGGTTTTTTAAAAGATCTCCAACTAAATTGCGAACCGACTGACTATTATTTAAAATTAAAGTAAATTGCTTTCTCGTTTTGTA